GGCTAGATGCCCCTCTGATTTGACACAGTGAAATACAATGTGAGTTTTCAGCAAGGAGCCCTCAGCTTTCACTGCTATGAAAACAATATAACATTTAATTTTTTTGACAGGCAATTATATACAGATAAACATTTCAGACTTCTGGAATTGGTGCAATAATTATTTTACTAGAAAATAATCATGTATAACTTAATACCTTAAACATAACATTGTCAAATCATAACTATTTACATAAGATGAATTAGTTGCAGTTTTTAAGCTTTTAAAACATAAACATCGAATAGCTAAACTTCCTGAGGTTCACTTAAATATTATGATATTAAACTGAGACTAATTCCAAAGCTTTGTTGAAAGCTGGAGAGTTGTTCTGCCTTTCTCTTAATAATTGTAGTTAGTATTGACTAGGGAATCTCCCCCATTATACACAGCGTCCTCTGTCGTTCACCATGTGCAAAAACTATCATCTTAGCTATCCATACCATAAGTACTTCCTATGTACATACTTTAATATTCTCTTTTAGATCTCTTTACTATAATCTACTGGCAATACTGTAGCCACATTGAGAGCAAAAATAGGAAAAGAATTGGTATAATTCCTAGAAGTCACTTCAGAGCTCAATTTCACCAAAATTTTTATTTCCATGTATTCCTTAATTAACAAAACAAGTACATAACAAAACTGCCTGATTTGAGTTTTATTTCCTTTCTAAGTTTTGATCTCTTCTTGATGAAAATGCTCTACTACTTAGAACCCAAAAAGGAAAAAGTGAAGAGAAATAGAAGTTCAACAGACATATCATTTGGGTATCATGGAAACTATTTTAACATATAGGCACTCTAAGGTATTTGCCAAGAATGAAATAAATTACTTCACCTCATATGACAAATGAAAGGTAGACGAGCTAAAAAACAGGTGAAGCTCATAGAACCTTCTAACTTCATTCATCTAGGTGATATCTATTACATTAAAATTAAACAAAACCATGTATTTTTAGGGATGGCTCATGTGAGACACAAATCTGCAAAAAGTCACCATGAACATAGAAAAAAAATCAACATCAAAACGACAAATCAGATTTTGTTTTAAGATGGTCTGTCTAATAAGACTCAATTTTAGGGTAAGATAAAGCATGAGAAATAAAACTTTTAGTTTTCTCATGTACCCATTTTAAGGTTAACATGAGTTTTAGGAACAAAGGCCAACAACACTACATTCTCAACATTGTTATGACACAGAGGAAAGTGAAAAAAAAAAGTATATTTAAGGAATGTCAGTTCTTCTATGAAGCATATTCTATCGCTTTCCATGTACCATAAGGTTCAATACAGTATTATAAAACTGAACAAATATGGACATCTGGCTTCCAGTATATATACATAATGTTATTTCTAAGAGGACATTTTGATACTTCATGGGTTTGTAAACTCTCTTTTTACTAATCTACTAGTCACATCTGCAGCTCAAGAGTCTCTTTCCAAAAGAGGACTTAAGGCCAAGCAAGACAAAGAATTTGCTGATACACATATGTCACTCCAAGAATTTCCCTGACAAAGTCTCCACGCCCAATTTAATTACTTCCCTACTGTAAAAACACTTTCCATCTGCATGTATTCTAATCTTTTCAAATCCAAAACCAACACACTATAAAGCTAGCTAAATAAATGAATGATATTAGCTTTAGGTTCCAAGACAGGGAGCATTTTATAAGGCGGTGGGGCTCCAGCTCCCATGCATTTTGTGCTGATACAGTATTTCATTTTGAGCTCAGTTCTTTATGTTTAGAATAGAATTACTTAGCCCCGGGCCTTAAATCTCTCTCTCTCCCTCTTTTTCTCTCTCTCACACACAGGGAAGGGAAGGAGTTAAGGGGAGAGAAAATATGAATGTCTGTGGTTCTTAATAAGCAAAAAGAATGTACCCGTACATGTATATGCTAAAGTAATGCTCTCCAGTGTCTATAATAAAAGAGTTTTTATATAGTTTTTTTTTTTTTGGTTGTTCATAAAAACTGAATCTCAGGACATGCATATACTGAATACTATTTTTGGCCTCCGCTGACTTGTTGACTGTTTGGAAGTTATTGTATCCTTTCTGTGCACGATGTTCTTTACCTCTTCTTTATTCTCTATCTGGTGTTCCATCACTGCACTAAATAATGCCATTATGGCACTCCCAGATCTAACATCTGTGAGTAAACAGAAAATCCAAGAATAGCCATCTCTTTTTGTTCCTTGACATTGTGAAGGTGTGGAGGTTGTCTTTTGCACCAGAAGTTAAGAGTAAGGACCAGACATTATTAAAATGTTTGGGCAACGCTGAACCAATAAACAATTCCAGGTTTTCTTGAAGGCCTTTCCATCTTGGATTTTTATAAATAAGATTTGTTTTATTTGTTTATTTTTTATGTCACTAAGCTTTAGTGTCCTTAGAAATTGATTTGCCTTAGGTGGTGCAGTGGTGAAGAATCCAGGTGCCAATGCAGGAGACACAGGTTTGATCCCTGGGTCAGGAAGACCCCCTAGAGGAGGAAATGGCAACCCACTCCAATATCTTGCCTGGAAAAACCCTATGGACAGAGGAGTCTTGTGGGCTACAGCCCATGGGGGTCACAAAGAGTCAGACACAACTGAACATGCATACGTGGAAAGGATCCATATATTGCAGACTAGAAAACTTCTATAAGCAGCTAATCCATGGCAACTAAATAGTAGTTTATAAGAAGTCAAGATATTTTTCAATTAATATAAATCGTATAAAAATATATAATAAAATATATTTAAAATAATCTATTAAACATATTTACTGTAAATGTAAAATTGCATTTTTAAGGCTATATGGGCTGGGATTTCCTGGATAAAAGAATGATCTAGTTTCAGGTTTAAATACATTGAGATCTGAACTCTCTCTTCTCGAACTTATTGATATAAAGTGTAAACACTGAATCAGCTTAGTGACTTTCTACTTGTTTAAAATCTATTAAAGTATACCACTATTTGTTCAAAACTCTTGAGTGGCCTCAAAATAAAAAAAAAATTGATATACAGTATTAATAAAAATAATAATTATGTTGTTCTGTTTTCCCTACTACCCATCAAGACCAGCAGCTTGCAAAGACTATCTAATTTGCTAAATAACAAGTCATATGTGGGTTTCTCATAGACGTCAGCAAAACAGTCAGGAAGGAAATACCCAGAAGCAATAGGGCTTGAGTTTCCTCTCTCCATACGTCCTGGAATTACTCTACTGTGTCAGAAAAAATTTAACAGTTCACCCATTTCCGAATGTTCCGACAAACTAAAACTATTTGGTTCTATACTGATACCTAATCACAAAAGACAAAGATCAAATGTTAAAAATCCTATATCATATCATATATTAATACTTTTGATGATTCAAAATAAAAAAACATACAATCATTTCACTATCTATCCCTAATATATATAGGAATTAATTACAGGAATATCATATTACATAAGAACAAAGATTTACTCAAACTGTAAACGGACTGTATATAATATATACTTGCTTTCTAAAAGGACAATACAGTGGTCATTAACATTTTACCTAGATCTGTATTGTTTTACTGTACCAAGAAAATCACTACATACATCATAGGCTGGAGTGAGTAGGACAAAAAAAACTAGACCCATCTCATCATTAAACACAAATCTGTTAATGCAATAAGTTGAGTTATACCATTAATATTAGGTTGGCCAAAAATTTCGCTCAGGTTTTTCTGTGATAGTATGAAAGACCTGAACAGACTTTTTGGCCAACTCAGTATTACTATATGAAGGGTGTATGTGGGTGCATGTTCAGTCATGTTCAACTCTTTGTGACCCCATGGACTATAGCCTGCCAGGCTCCTCTGTCCATGGAATTTTCCAAGCAAGAATATTGGAGTGGGTTGCCATGCCCTCTTTCAGGGGATCTTTCTGACTCAGGGATCAAACCTGAATCTCTTTTGTCTCTGACACCAGCAGGTGAATTCTTTACCACTAGCGCCACCTGATTACTATTGCAATAGTATTTAAAATACTTTTACTGACCGTTTAAAATTGAGGCCTGGATTTTTAAATAAAAACAGTGAAAATGTATAGGCCTAAAAATGTCTGTTGTGCACGTGGTCCAGGCACAAAAAACTAAATGGTCCCAAAGTCCTGTATGTAGTGGTCTGACCACTTTAATTTATCATTTCTTCAGGCTTTATAGAACATACAAAGAATATCAGGGCTTCCCTGATAGCTCAGCTGGTAAAGAATCTGCCTCCAATGCAGGAGACCCCAGTTCAATTCCTGGGTCAGGAAGATCCCCTAGAGAAGGGACAGACTACACTCCAATATTCTTGGGCTTCCCTGGTGGCTCAGGTGGTGAAGAATTCGCCTGCAATGTGGGAGACCTGGGTATGATCCCTGGGTTGGGAAGATCCCCTGGAGGAGGGTATGGCAACCCACTCCAGTATTCTTGCTTGGAGAATCCCATGGACAGAGGAGCCTGGTGGGCTACAGTCCACAGGGTCACAAGGAGTCGGACATGAATAAAGTGACTAAACACAGAGAAAATGCCAAGTTAATTTTGGTTGTTCCAATTTGATGACATTCTCAAAATCTAGCAACATTTGATTGAAAAAAAAGGTAGATTTTCAGTAAACACAGATTTAAAAGGTATTCTGTTTCTGGCAAAATTTCAGATGTGAATACATTATAAAAAGAGAATAGAATGAAAAATGAGGACGAACTTAATGAATATTATGGGAATATATTTTCAAGTATTCCTAGAGATGTTTCCACTATTGTTCTTTAAAGCTAATTTCCATCAGTGTCCTTTTATTAAATATTATGAATAATGACATCCCTGCCGGTCTAATGTATGATCTCCATACAGATAGGTTCTTGAACTCCATGTTTTACATCACAGTTGTATCTGGAGTATAACATCTTATGAGTCCTCCAAAGCTGCAATTTTTCTTAGTGAAGTCTTGGCCTCTGTTTTACTGTACCTGGAATTCTGGGGTTCGGGAACATCTGATTCTGTGCACGTTTTCTTTACCTGTAAGAAAAGATTACTAGTTAGTCTCATATGAAAAAAGAACTTCCTCATTCAGTTTCACACACTTGCTAAACTTAAAGTGGATACAGCTCTACTCACCAGGATCTCTATAAAATACTCCCCACATTTTACAGCAGCAGCATGCAGTATTAAATAGTGTATTTCATTATTATCCCATGAACAGCTGCCAAAGGCACTTCCCTAGACTCCATTAGTATGTAAAATGTTCAGCTAAAATAGCTTGGGACTTGCTTAAGCAGGAACAAAGAAACCAAAGAACCAGGTTTCCCACTTAGGAATTGGAAAGCCATACAGCTCTCAATTCACTAGGAAATGTTTTTCCAATTGATACTGCTTCTGTCTCCTACTAAAGTGCACAATAATAAACACCAGGTTCTGGGGGCAAAGCATAGTGTTAGCTAAACCATTCATATATTAATTTTCATTTTCTCAATCCAGTGGCTGTATGTTTTATATATTTCTCAGCATATCAATTAAGTTTCAGCATTGCTCACAGACTTCTCATATATACTTGAAGTATACTTTGCAGACTATATTTCAACTTTGTGGCTTTTAACCCACACAAGGTAAAGAATGAGAAAAAAAAAAACTTTTACTTTTAGGATATGCTATCCAATTCTGGTCAAAAGTCTGTGGTATATCTTCCAAAATAAGGTAAAGCACACACCCATTGCCTTTCACAATTTAACTTCAAGCACAGATACTATGTCTGACTATCATGGTTTTAAGGGGTACATTATATGCAAAGTAAAGGCCATTTCAAAAATTTCTTAGTTAATATGGAATGTAAACAAGATACATTAATTACCAAGTATATAGTCATACAGTCTGGGTGTTTACATTCCTATGGTCTATTTATGCAGCCTATAGAATCCAAGCAACTTTAACTTGTAATATGCAGCTTGGAAGTGAAAAAAAGTCTACTGAATATACACCGTGAACATACAACATGAGTGTGAGTTATGATACAAGTGGTATTTCTTAAGAGTAAGTTTTGAATTTTAAAGAATCAGCATTTTCTTTCTAGCTCACAAATATTTTCAAGTATTCCTAGAGATGTTTCCAATGTTGTTCTCTAAAGCTAACTTCCATCAGTGTCCTTTTGTTAAATATTATGAATAATGACATCCCAGCCAGTCTAACGTATGATTTCTATACAGATAAGTTCTTGAACTCCACGTTTTACATCACAGTTGTATCTGGAGTATAACATCTTATTAGTTCTCCAAAGTTGCAATTTTTTTCTTAGTGAAGTCTTGACTCTTAGTGAAATGAAGTCTTATTTCCTTCCTCTTCTCAGAAGAATGCATTAAAAAAAAAAAGCCTACACTTTCAAAAATTGGTGTCTTTGCTTTCAATTCTAGGTCTAGATATTTTATAATCAGGGAAATCAATTATTTGCTTGGTTAACTTGATTAAGTACTCTCTTCTGCATCTGGAGTATACATCCACACAGTATGAAAATAAAATTGATCAGCAAAGAGATTATTATCCTTACCCTATTATGTAACATCTTCTATGCTCTCAGTACAGAGCTCAACACCATGAGATGGAATGGCGAAGAAATATTTTTGAGTAATTAGTTTAAAAAAAAAACAAAGAATGAAAAAGGAACACCTTTCTTAAAAAAAAAAGTAACTGTAAGATCCACTATGAAACCCATGAAAGTCTTATGTCCACGAACAATTCCAAGAAAAACAAGAACTAAAAGGGAAGGATATGCTATTAAAACCCTCTTTCCCACTGGTTCTTCCCTAAGATTCATCACCAGAAATTATATGAACTGCCCAATGAATATGTAGAAATCACATTGAAGTGAATGCTAGTTTCTGAAAGACTATGATAACTTGACTTTGGGACTAACTAAAGAAGCTCCAGATCACAAAAGCAAACTAGACAGACAGTCTCAAGCAAGAGTTAGGATGAGACAAACTTCCTGTGGTTTAACTATAAAACACTGATGAAAGAAATCAAAGAGGACACAAATAGATGGAGAAATATACCGTGTTCATGGATTGGAAGAATCAATATTGTGAAAATGAATATACTACCCAAAGCAATCTATAGATTCAATGCAATCCCTATCAAGCTACCAATGGTACTCTTCACAGAACTAGAACAAATAATTTCACAATTTGTATGGAAATACAAAAAACCTTGAATAGCCAAAGTAATCTTGAGAAAGAAGAATGGAACTGGAGGAATCAACCTGTCTGACTTCAGGCTCTACTACAAAGCCACAGTCATCAAGACAGTATGGTACTGGCACAAAGACAGAAATATAAATCAATGGAACAAAATAGAAAGCCCAGAGATAAATCCATGTACCTACGGACACCTTATCTTCAACAAAGGAGGCAAGAATATACAATGGAAAAAAGACAACCTCTTTAACAAGTGGTGCTGGGAAAACTGGTCAACCACTTGTAAAAGAATGAAACTAGAACACTTTCTAACACCATACATAAAAACACAGTTTTTAAAGAAATATTTAATACCAATGGCTTTATAAAACATCTTTATTTAAATAACTAACCAGAAAGTTAGTATTACTTTAATTTATTCTCAATGTATTAATTGTAATACCAAGAGAACACATCTACTGATTACTTACTATCTAGTATGCACAGTCCTAGTTGTTGTGGTTGTTGTTTAGTCACTAAGTCATGTCTGACTGTTTTGTGACCCTTTGGACTGCAACCCTACAGGCTCCTCTTTTCATGGGATTTTAGAGGCAAGAATACTAAAGTGGGTAGCAATGCCCTTCTTCAGGGAATCTTCCTGACCCAGGAGTCAAAGTCCCATCTCTCATCTCCTATACTGCAAGTGGGTTCTTTACCACTGAGCCACCAAGGAAACTCAATGATTAATAAGTATGTGACGAAAGACTGAAGTAGATATATTCTTTTAGATATTGTTAGAGTTTTGCACTCTTCAAAGTAATTCTTTTTATAGGCTTTATTAATTTGTTCATGGTCAAATGAGGGAAGAAAAATATTTAGGATACCATGACTACTACAGGAGGGTTTAACAGTGTTATTCACGTTCAGAGGACAATCTACCCCAGCCAAAGGAAGAAAAGGATGGCAACAAAGGATGTGATTTCTGAGCTAAGTTTTAACATGCTATTGACCGTTTTGCAGAAACTAATACCTATGGCCATAATATGAAAAAAAGTAAAAGTGAAAGTTGCTCAGTCATGTCCAGCTTTTGCGACCCCATGGAATTCTCCAGGCCAGAATACTGGAATGGGTAGCCTTTCCCTTCTCCAGGGGATCTTCCCAACCCAGGGATAGAACCCAGGTCTCTCGCATTGCAGGTGGATTCTTTACCAGTTGAGCCACAAGGGAAGCCCATGTGTCTCCAGTCAATAATGTGTTAAAGGACATAGGTTTCAAAGACTAAATCTGGAAAAACGTAGGTACTTCAACATCATGGGGTTTGTCAGAGAAATCATATTATTAAGGCCTTATAAATGATGAAGAATTTGGAATTTAACATTTGGACAATGAAGACCATTGAAGGATTTTAAAAAACAGAGATGGTGCATAAGACAGTGTAGAAGGGACCAGGCTGAGGACTGAAAGACAGATAAGAGTTTAATGTAACAAGAGAAAAAGTACACATTCCACAAAAGCAGACACAGCATTGATGGTGTATGTCACTAATCCCTAGCTTTGAAATGATCCTTGCTTTGGTCTGAATGTTTGTGCTCCTTCAGAATTCATTTGCAAAATCCTAACCCTAACCCTCCAAATTAGGAAGTGAGCTGTTTGAGAGGTGCTTAGATACTGAAAATGAAGGCTTTCCAAATGCTATTAATGCTCTTAAGAAAGAGACTCCACAGAGCTTCCTATCCCTTCTACCATGTGAGGAAACAACGAGAAGTCACTGGCTTTGAATCAGGAGGTGAGCTGTCATCACATAAAACCATGCTGGAGCCACCATCTTGGACTTTCCAGCCTCCAGAACTAAGAGGAACAAATATCTGTTGTTTATAAACTACATGAAGTATCTCATTATAGCAGCCCAAATGGATTAAGACAGTCCCCAAATACTAGTTCAGTAAGTGAATCATTCAGTCTATCAATGAGAGATGATGAAGACCTAAATTAAGATAGGAGCTATGGGGAGAGTTGAGAAAATGTTTTTGATAGACATTTCAAAGACAAAAATGGCAGCATATTGTTACTGACTAAAACAAAGTATAAAAGAATATGATCTGAATAAACACCATTGCTGACTCAATGGACATGAATCTGAGCAAACTCTGGGAGATAGTAAAGGACAGGGAATCCTGACATACTGCAGTCTATGGAGTCAAAAAGAGTCAAACACAACTCAGCGACTGAACAACAACATGATGTGATTTTTTAATCTGTCCTTGAAAAAACTTTGGTAATAACAAATATCAAAAATGTTAACTTATGACTTCATTAAAATACTTCAAAACTCTTTGTTTTGAACTGATGAACAGAAGTTAGATAAATTATTAAGAAACTTATTTTGCAAATCCCAATTATGCAGAGCCATTAATCATGACCCATAGAAGCTCCAATCATGAAGAAAATTAAAAATAGAACTACCATGTGATCCTGAAATCCCACTCTGAGAAATATACCCAGAAAAAAAAATTTAATTCAAAAGATGCATGCACGTTTATGTTCATAGCAGCACTGTTCACAATGGCCAAAACATGAAAACAACCTAAATGTCCATCAACAGATGAATGGATAAGGAAGACATGTACATATATACAAGAGAATACTACTCAGCCATAAAAAAAGAGTGAAATAATGCCATTTTCCCTTTCTTGGATCACAGTCATGTCATAGTGAAGGGGCTTGCATAACTCAATGAAGCTATGAGCCATGCCAATTAGGGCCACTCAACATGGACGGGTCAAAGCAAAGTCTGGGAAACAGTTGCTTGAGCAAACTCTGGGAGATAGTAGAGGGGAGAGCAGCCTGGCATGCTGC